CCCCAAAACCCCAAAACCCCAAAACCCCAAATTGTTCATGTAGTTGTGATAATTTAATCATTATAATACAAGAAAAGAAAACATAATATGGATGATTCTTACAAGAATGTAATCGATACAGATAGCTGAGATACAGAATTTAGAGATTCAAGATCAGAATTTTATGAGAGTAGATGAGAAATTATTCCGAATAACTTTGGTACTTATTCCTTTCTAAACTTTCGAAAAATCAAAAATAACAAAAAATAGTAATCCACCCAAGATACTCAGAAATACCCTAAAACGCCTCAAAAACCTTCTAGCACACTCGCTACACCTCCTCTGGCCCAATCGATCACCCAGACACCTCTCAATCCTCAATTCAAATCCCCTCAGTCCTTCTCTAAACCCTCACAAAAGCCTAAACTGTCACGTATCCCTAAGAAGGCCCTATTAAAGCCTCGAAACGGCTATTTGGGCCTTCTAGGCCCAAATAGCTCCTTTAATTTTCCTTCAATAGCTGCTGAAAAGCCGCTTTCTCACAAATTTTTGTCTCAAGACCAAATTTCTCAAAATTTAGCTCTGAGCAAAATTGATCATGATATTTGTTCATATGTAAATAAAATAGAGAAATTAGCCCAGAAGGGTAAGGACAGATCAAGAGATCTTTTATAGGGGCAAACGGGTTCGGACCTCAAGGCCGCAGCACTGGCGAAGCAAGCTTCGCCAGTGGCAGCGAGGAGGTATGAAGCAGGTTAAGCTCTAGGAAAGTATTCATGGATCTGTTCATAAAAGCCAAGATGGGCTAATACGGGTCCATAAGATTGATTTAAATCATAGAGAAAATGAAGAAGAGAAAAATGAGTATAAGTAGCTATTTTGGCGATATTTTAGGGTTAAATTACAGCACAAAAGGTACCTAAAACAAGTAAGCCTGTTAGAGAATGTATAGTCTGCATTTGTGACTGCTCAGAAGAAGAAATTAAAAGGAAATAGTCTATTTATGAAAACTTATGATGATTCAAAGACTGCTTTTGAAAAACATAAGAAAGAGATGGCAACAAAAGCAATGGATCCTAACCTTCAAGTTGTTAATTATGCAGCTTTTGGTAGGAAATTAAACAGATTTATACCAGCCAAAAAATGTCATTCTATTTCAACTCCGAATATAAATAAGGATAAGATTGAGTCAGGAAGTTTGAGAGGATCTGATACTGTAGAAGAGACCAGGAGTCCTCCATCAGTAGTCTGTAAGTCTCTATTTTACTTACTTAACAGACCAAAAGTTGAGAATTAAAGTATCAAAAAATCATACAGAATTGCGAGGAAATTCTCTATTCAAAAACACAAATAAAATATTAAAATCAAAGTATAAAAAGTCCCTACCAGCACTAGCTGCACCCTCTAAAGCCTTAAACTTTGTCAAAAATCCTCTAGGAGTCCTCCAAAATTCAAATCGCCATCATGAGTCTTTAGAGATACCATCTCGAGAAAAGAGTAGGGGATCTTTTAGCATCTTCCTCCCTTCCCAAGAGTAAGTATCTCCTCTAATTCCCTAGGAAGTTAGTCAATCTCCATCAGAGTAGCTCTGAGGCTGCTTATGCTTCTAAATATCCCAAAGTTAAACGAAGAATTTGGAGGAGAAACTACTAGAGTATACTCTACTGAGTCAGAAAATTTTTCAAATATCACCATATTCAATATTAGGACCAAATCTTGGGGTTTTGGGGTTTTGGGGTTTTGGGG